CCAGGTGAGTCGGCGTTCCGCTCGGAGCTCCCGGCCCGCAGGACAGCGCTGTGCCGGGCTGGCCCGGGCCGCTGGCAGAAGCCGTGGTGTGCCAGCCCGGTGACAGAGGCCGGGACCAGCCCCCATCCCCGGTGCGGCTGCCGCAGGAACCCGGCCCGGCCCCGGCAGCGCTGGAAACGCGGGACGGGCGATTGCTGCAGCTTTCTTTACACAGAAATACTGCTCCCAGCACTGGCCTTGACCCAGATTTTAAACCAATGAATGCGAATTTGGGCCGTCGCTCTCCCGTTTCTGTCGCTGTTTTAGAACGCTGGTTACCATTTATTAGACTTTACAGGAAGATGTAAACCTACTGACACTGCTGTGTAATGAGTGCTCTAGGAAGACTTTCTCTGATCTGTTTCCATTCTGCAGCACACCGAGAACTTTTTGAGACGATTCTTGTCCAAAGCAAGATGTTACGCTCAGTAAACCTGAGGCACACATCAGGCTCTGTCCCATTGCACATCAATAGAATTCTGGTTAATCAAAACCCATGTTGAAACCACTTCTTACATTTGTTACATATTTTGTTGCAGCTTAAGCTGCAGCCAAATTATTTTGCTACATTATTTTGCTCCTTTCAATCAGAATTCTAAGTCAGCTGCCTAATTCTAGGCATTTACAATGCATTTAGCAGGTTACAGAACTCTAGAAGTACATTTGTCCCGATTCACAGTTAACACCCTGCTACATATCCCTGCTACTGCAGGGGTAGAAGTGACCTTGAAATAAACAGGAATTGGACCAGATTCCTCACTTGAAATTGCAGGTCAGATCCAACGATGTCCTGGCATAAATAGAGCCCACCTAAGGGATTCCACACATCTAAAGAGCTTTGAACAAGTTTTTTTGCACATATTCTCGGCCATTAGCTAGAAGAACCTTTGGCCTTCTACTTGTAGAGGAGGATGTGAGCAGGATGAACACAGATGTGAAAGTGGGGGGGTAACAGGGTGTACATATTTGGGAGGCATATTTTTTTGCCATAAAGCCAGGCTTGAGGAGAGGGGTAGATACTGGTCTATGGGTGTGTCAAAAATACGGCAGTTCTCCACCCATCCCTCCTCACAAAAACAGTGTGAGGGAAATTCTGTTTACTTGAGTCAGATTATAGCAGTTTCAAGGAAGGTCATGATTTGGGCCTAAACAATTTTGGCTTACTGCCAGCAACTTGTTTTCAAAAGTATAAATAGAAATTACTTCAGAGTACTCTGAAAAATAAAAATCAATGGGCAGGAGAAGCCAGCTGAACTGTATTTCAAAGTATTTCCAGGTATGTCCTTAAATGAGGTGAGATAGTATGCAACAAGGAATGTCTCTCATAAATATTAACCTAGTTTATCTTTAATGAGGTTTGACTACATTTAATTAGTTTGAAAGATTTCATTTTAGAAAACGTAGGTCTCATTCCTGGCTAGAAGAGGTGTTACATGACCTAATAATCTTTTCCATTTTTAGATGCTGCTGCCTGCCATGATGCTCTGTGTGATTTGTACCATTCCCCAAGGACAAAGCAGAGCGATCCTTGGTTTGGACAAGTCCTGCAGTGCCTCCTCCACCAGTCTCCCTCCACAGAAACCCAGCTGGGCCTTAACCATGGCAGTTCCTACAAGGTGACAGGGCCACAAAGCTCTTAATAACTGCTACAATATAAAGCAAATAGTTTTCTAGCTCTTATAACACATCCACAAGAGTGATCCAGTCCTTCTCTGCCTTGGTATTAGCAAGGGGGAAAACTGCTAATTTTTGTCCTGTAGTAGGTGCTGCATGTGGACAGTGTCCAAGGAAGCCTTGCCAAGTGCTATTTTCCTCCCATAGTAGCCCTGGGTGTTTAGCTTTTCTACATATTAAATGATTGGGGAAGAGTGACTTGGCTTTTGCTTTTTGAAAAAAATAATGTGGAAAATACCACTGTCATTAGTCATTTTTACCATGGAAGTGGCATTTCCTGGAGCAGCTCCCTGTTAGATCCATCCTAGAGACTGCAGGGCTGCTGCCTAGGTACACCTGGCCTAGCTGGATTCCCTCTTTGTGTTTCCATGAACATACAGCCTCATCCTAAAAGGCAGCCTTGGAGGTGGATTCTCTGGGGCTGGTAACCTGAGCAGAGCTGAGTCAGGAAGGTGTGTGCTTTAAAGTGCCAGTAAATGCATCTCATGACTGAAGAGGAAACTTGTACCCAGTGATGTTTGGGGTGGCTATTTCCTTTATAAGTCTTCTGTGCCTCTCTTTCAAGGAGAATGTGTTCATACCCATGTGTTTCACAGCTGCTGAGTGCAAAGGTGACCCACAGGACTTGGGCAGCTCACTGCCTTGCTATAAAAACTTGGAAGATGTGAAAATCAGGTGGCCATGCTTGGCTTTAAAAAGATTTCACTGACAGTCTGAATGAATTAACTCTCTGGGGTTCAAACCAGCAGGCATTGTCAGATACAAGGGATTAAAAGGCTTTTTAATGTGGCTTAGTAGTGTACAGAAGATTGGCTTACTTGTATGAGCTCTTCTTTTGTCACATTGATCTTTATTTTGCATTGTGCTTAGTACAACAGAAACTGGAGGCTGAAGTCTTCTTTCCTGAATCATCTGTCAGGACTTGGCCCTTTTATTGCTTAGTAAAATAATTTTTTGTGAAGGAGGAATTGATTTTTGCCAGTGTAGCCACTGTTGAGTAATAGCTGAAGAATACCAAGTTGTAATAATTTCATGAGCACTGTATGTGGCCAGGTTGGTGAGAGGAAGTTACTATAGGGTGAGTTGTACTTCTTTATATTGCTTTGCTCTATAGATGTATCGATCTAACCTAATAGGGAGCTAGCTGATGAAGGAATAAAAGGCAATTCAGCGGTTCCCCTGTGTCACCTTTATGTGGCTAAGCCCATGAGGTGGTAATTATGGGAATGATAGCTCCAGTTCTGAGGGATGCAGCTGGTTTGCCAGGCTGTAAACTAAAAATTATAGGAGGATAAAGTTGGCAGTGACTGATGGCAGAAATACTTCAACACCAAGGCAGACTTCGCAGAAGAGTGTGGATGAAGATGAGCCTTCCTCTCTGCAGCAGTGTAAGTCACACAGAAGGAATGGCAAGTGTGTTGACCAGCTTACTGCTCTTAAGTTCTATTTTGTCATAAATGTTTTAGTACTGAGTAAGTGTTTTGTGGTCAGTACTTACAGCCAGTACTTCATGAGAGACTAAATCTGTGAGGTCTGGGTCTGTCTTGGGTCTGCAGAGGTATCCATGGTGGATGCACTGGGGGTGCAACCCGAGAACTGGTGTGCTTGGAGCCAAAAACACAGATCTGGAGGAACAGTTAACTAGGCACTCGAGACAGCAAAGTGCAAACGCAGTCACAAGGTTTTTTTTGTCTTTTGTCTATAAATAAATAGGTTTTAGAATAGTGTGTGGGCTTTCACATACAGGTTTAATTAACCTTGGTGTTCTGATGTGGTGGTTTGTGTTTGTTCTTTTTTTAATATGGTGTAGTCAAAAACACAGTATCAAAGGTAAGAACAAATTTATTACTTAGACACCATTAACATAAATATCCCAGTAGTGGGATGCTGGTCAGTCCCTGTTTCTCAACTGAAAGGTAATACAGCAAAAGAGGTTTTTCTCTTGTCCTTTTATTCACCATTTATTGCACTGTTTTCACCACTTGCTGTCTATAATCGATTGGTTGTCCCCTGCTGTTACCATGGATATTTAATGCATTGACATGGAAAAGAGACACATTTTTATGAAAAGGAAAATGCAGTTACAAAACTCCTCTTGCACTGAATGGACAGTTCTGCCGTATTTTATGTGACTACAGCCAATAATGGCTTTTTGCTTCTTGCTCTTGCCTGCCACCTACACGCACAGACATCCCTCCTGCACCTCCAGTGTCATGAGGCTGGTGCCCAGGAGGTGCTGTGTGGCTCCTCGTGTCCATTCTCCCTCCCTGGAGCAGGGGAGAAGGGCCAGAGGGAGATTTTGTAGCCTTGGAACTCAGGAGCACTTGATGGAAGAATGGCAAGTGCTGGCAAATGCTGTTGGTTGGAGTGGTCCAGCATAAACAGGAATCCAAGACCCTCCCTTAGACTCTTACGTCTGGGTTTTTTTGAGATCAAAGGAGAACATGGTATTTTGAACAAAATGTGCAAGGGCCCACCCTTCCTGAACTGCACTTCTGGTGGTATATGCTGTCCTGCAGCTGTAATACTCTACAGAACGGTTGGGTTTCTCCACTCCCTGCCCTCTTTTAATATGTATCATGAGAGAAATTCAATAGATGTTTTCACAGGAGTCTCTGATCCTACACTGCTCTCATTGTGCCTCTGTGTTCTGTGAGCAGGGCTGCTGATCAGTAACAATTTACATCTAGCACCTCTGATTCATCTGAAGTTCATGTAATGTATTACTTACACTAGATGGAGGTGGCAAAACTGACCTGTAAACCTAAAATGAAATTAGGACTACAAAACTAATTTCATTTAGATTGTGAAAATTAGACTATAAATGGAATTCCTGTGGGAACTGTGTAAATCTTCTTTGACATTGTTTAATGTAATTCTTTTCTTAATAGGATAACTTTAAATTGCGTAACCAGTACATAGTTTTAACTAGCACAGATTTGTAGCAAATCTTGCAGTAAGATGAGGAACATTCTGTGGTGTTTCTGAATTTAAGGATTACACTGTATAGCTTTAATGGAGTTGACTAGACAGTCAGGCATCAGATGCCCTCCCCAACCCTGAGCAGAGAGGTAATGAATGACACAAAGCTGGGATGTCATTTGTCAAATATCTCTGTCCCACCAGTAAATTTTAATTTATAAAATGCCCATGGATGTATGTACAGGATAACACAAATTCAGGGTAAAGATTTGTTCTATGTTCAAAACTCGAGTAAGAATCTGAATTTTAAGGTTAGTACCTGGATCAGAATTCCATGTCCAAATCACAGTAGTTAATCCCTAATCTGGGAAAATTTTGAATTAAAGACCTAGTTTTTCAAATTGGATCCAGGAATTTAAGATCTGACTAGCTCCATGTCATTTTGTGTTCTCTTAATTGATGTCAACACAAAATTTGTGTTCTCTTAATAGATGGCAAGTAAGTGTGCTTGTCTTATGCATGAAATTAAATTAAGGACTGAAATTATTCTGAATAATTCAAATGCTCATGCTCCAGATGACAGCATATTCTGCTTGCTGTGCTGCTTTTTTTCTTAGACATGTTCTTGTTTTTAAAGATAACATGTTCAGGTCTGATTCTTCAAGTTTAATTCTGCCTGTGAGCAAATTCAGAGGGTTGGATTAACACATGCACTATCTGTGCATGAGAGCTCAGGCATTAGATTCTCTCTTCAGGGGAACATTTAAGGTACTTGAGATAATTTGACTAATGAAAACAATAATTTTGAATGTTTTACTGCAAATAACTCATAATATCCTGACATTCTGTAGAATGTATAATAGTGCTTTTAAACAGAGAAGAATATGCTGAATGCTGGGACATCTCTAAACTTACTTGAAGTTTTCTGGCTCTCTTACTCAGCAAGTCTTCTGTATTGTTTAAAACAATATTGTCCTGGTCCTGCTCTAAGCCAGTAGGTGCAAAAGCCTGTCAGGTAGTATAAGAGTCAGATATCAATCATTTTTTATATCCAAAATCACCACTATAAGGCTGCCTTGCATAACACTTAATTCATCTGGGCCTCTGTTAAACATCCTTTTGTGTCAGTAAAGTTCTTGAAATGACTTGATTCTTCCAGACACAGCGAGTGCTGATAGCAGGCAGCCCTTGCATGTTCCTTCTCCCTTCTGCATGCTTAGGGCTGGTCTTCTGTCTGATCGTCTATTTATCCTCCCAAGAAGACAGGCACTGCCTTTTCCATAATGAAGTCAAGCTCTTTGTTCTTTCTAAGGTTTCATTCCAAGGAATGTCAAAGAACAAACTTTAAAATTCTAGCATACTGTATTTGCAAAGAAAAGTAAAATGTAACAGATAGGAATCCACTTTCAAATAGAAAATTGCACATAAAACTGTGCCACCAGCAAAGACTTGAGAGAGCTGTTGGCAGTTAAAAATTAACATTCTTCTCCCAACTCATAAGAAAGAGTGGTATGGAAAATACATTTTGAACAAATATAGTCCTAAAAATAGGAAAAAAAAAGAGGATCTCAAACTTCATTAGCAGAAACTTAAACATCCTGAATCCTCTCATATTACAGCTTGACCCAGCCCTGCTCAATAATGAAAACAGTTTACAAGAGAAGGTAGATTTGCCTTTCTGATGGATATAACTTTATAATTAAAGGTACTACTAATAAAACTTGAGTGTTGCAGAAGCAAAAATGACAATCACAGCTTGAGACCTTCCCTGGCATGACTATATGGGAGTTTTAGCTACAAGGTAAAGCATTTACCCCCTTACTCTTGCAATCTGCAATGAAAGTAGCTATGTATTACTTAATACATTCTGTATTGCAGTCCTAATAGTGTTAGCTGTTAGGACTATAAAAACTGCTAAGAAATGTGAAAATGCTTAAGCTATAAAAAGCATATTGGCATGATTCAATAGATGCTCTGATCAAAACACAGCGTGCTTCAATAAAAAGAAAATGCAATTTAATTTGCTCCTGTCAGTGGTATGTGCTGCATTGTGTTTGTTTCTTGCATGGGAAAGAGGAACAGCAGAGAACAGGGGCTGAACAGGTGTTTGTCCTGCAGCTGACCCCACAAGCAGCAGACTTGAATGAATCTTCCCAGACACAGAATTTTGCCTGAGCAGAGGTAGTTGCAAAGTCAGAGCCAAGCATGAAAACTACCTCCTTTTCAAATTAAAGCTTTCATTGGCATGACAAGGATATGTATAGTGTTGTTTGGTGCAGTTCTGGGTATACTGAACAACTTGTTCACCTACCAAAGGGAATCGGGTTACTTTTGAGATCTGTATCTGAATGTAGTATCAGATACTAAAGAAAATAAGTTGGCTTGGTTTGTTCTAACAAGAAAAAAGAGAATTGAAGAAAATATTTCTTAGTAGAAATTCAATGAAAATATTTTATGCTTCAAGTCCAGCATTCCAAGATAGAATCTTTTTTTTTTTTCCCATGAATATACGCACGATCCAGTAATAACAAAAGTTAGCAGAAACCTATTTTAGTAAAACCTCATTAATCACAGCAATCTGATATAGTATACCTGATGTTCATTATATTTAATGAGAAATCACCGAGCAAATGTGCTCATTAGTGGCTGTGGTATTGGATAGCTCTGTGAGAAGTACTTGTCTAAAGCCTGTTTCAGTTATGTACATTTAACAAGCTCCACGAATAGCTCTGGGCTGCTTCCTGTTCCTCAGGCACTGGCAGCGTGTCTGAAACGTTTTAAAATGTGTGGAGGCTGCAGCCCAGGCTGGTTGTTTATGGGGGTGCTGAAATCTTGGATCCCACATCCTCCTCTGCTGTTTCTCATGGTACGTGTGCCGTGTCTCCCTGGTGTTCACCAGCTACATGGCCCTGCAGTGTCTGCTCCCTTCAAGAGTTATTCTGGGCTTTGGAGAGCCTCCCCAAACCCACCCCCTGCCTCCTGACTGCTTTGGTTTTCAATTTGCACACCTTGCCCATAAAGGCAGTCGGTTCCTGGTTGATTACACATCCAGAACTGGATCATCTGGGGATGAATCTAAGTGATCTGTGAAGTGCCTTCCGACCCAAACCGCTCTAGGATTACAGGATTCTATAACAGTAATGGAATTTGGGTTGAAGAGTTCTCTCAACAGAATTAGTTCCTCTGCTCTGAACTTGGTCTGCAGCCTGACTGCAGTTAGTACCTACCAGCAGCAGTAACAGTGATGCTTCCTTGAATTCCCAAGTTTAAACTTACTGGAATCCTAGGTGAGAGGTAGAACAGAACATTGTGCTGTTTGTAATTAAAATGCTACCACGAGGAAAAAAATGAAGACTGGAATGAAGTAAGGCTGTGCTGACATCCATGCATGCAATTTGGTTTAGATAATGGAAAAACAGCCTGTACAAAGAAAAACCCGTATCTCATATTTTTTTGTGGCGGTCAC